CTCCATCGATCAAGCTGGCTGAAACTTTCTCTCCCTCTTCTTCTCATGCTACCTGTCACTCTCCTTTAACTCCTCCGGTGACTTTCTTTTATTTGAGGATAGTTTTTTTTGCCCGGCGCTCACGGGCAAACGGGAGCCTGCTCGCGCTGGCTCCGCAGCAAACAGCTGCTGCGGGGTATTTAAATAGTGCTTCCGAGCCAGCGGGCCATTTATAATGTCGAGCCCTGCTCTCTGTCACTGTGCATGTGTGTAATGTTTGTGTGCAAGTTAGACGGGGCCTGCGTGTGTGCCTGCGTGTGTGACTGTGTCTATGAGGGAGAAAGGAAAGCTCATTTTGGCCGCGGCGGGAAATTGATTTGACAACATAATACTCGATGTTCACGATGTGGTCATTTACGACATCGCATGGAGTGCAATCCACGATGTATCGTGTAAACTCGATATATCGCCCAGCCCTAACATGAACCATAAAGTCAAACCTGTCGTCACTCCAAACGCTGCTCTAATGTGTTACCATCTGTGTGTATATTGGGAAAGGGATGTCCCGATCACCTTTTTTTGCTTCCGATCATTTGATTTTGACAATCTGCCGATACCGATTTTTCCCGATCCGATCTTTATGCAATGCATTAAGACAAAAGAAGGTAACAGATAACAGCTGGTCATCCAACGCGATGAATTCAGCTATCTTGGCTGTTATTTTTGTTGGCCTTTTCACTGTTCTGGGGCAGTTTCTCTTTCCTGAAAGTGTCGGTTGTTTCAGTGCCGTTACCTGAGTGGCCACTGTGTACTCGTCGTGTTGTTGTTTGTGTTTGTTTCTCAGGTGGCGTGTTAGATTGGTCGTGTTGAACGTAGCTCTGTTCTTTCCACCACGCGGAACCTCCGCCTTGAAAACATTGCATCTGGCTGTTACACTGCCTTCACTTTCAATTTTATAATACTTCCAAACTCCTGACATTTTCTCTGTCCCGACTCCCGAGTCACCAGCTGAGCGTAGCCTCTCGTTAGCTTACTGCTACTATTAGACACTGCGCCCCGCCCACTCTGTTGCCAGATTTGAGAGAAATAAGCAACCAAGCCCAAAAGAAGCAACACATGATGTTGTGTAATTCAAAACCAAAATGAAGGCCTCAGGATGACTTTAAGACGTGAAAATGGTCATTTTTGTTTTGTAACATTAAATAATAATTTAAAAATATTTTATAAAAAAATATATATATCCCAATCCTCGATTTTTTTTTCTTCCGATCTTTTGAAAATCACGTGATCGGCTCCGATACCCGATCACGGGATCGGATCGGGACATCTCTAATTGTGGAATGTTTATCTATGTTGTCTGTGGAAATAGTTTTGAGTCTGTATTAGATATATTTCTGTGCTATTCTTCAGAAATGAAATGTTGGATTAATGCAAAATGAGGGACTGAAATGATTACAAGTATTTACAAATGTCACGGATGCCAGGATGTAATATTTCTATGGTATTGCTGATACACTGCTGATGCTTTTGGGAACACTTGATGAAGATTACCAGATGGCTGATCGTCAATTTATGACTTTTTCCTCATGAATCTGAAATTAAAGTAATGAAATCGGCCTGAGTTGATCATATTACTTTTTGTGAAGGCCTATATTTATCTGTAAAGACGGCAAAAGTGATGCACAGCTGTATTTTTTCCACAATTTTGGGTTTCTCTCTCTCAGAATCTCTTGTATGCTGATGTGTGCTTTGCAGCCAGCCACCACTCAGCATTATAATTAGTTAATATGACCAGAGACTATTAATCCCCGCTCTTTAACATCACAGCCCTTCCGGAGCTTCTGTACATAATGCAGACCTCTCTAGTGTCAAAGAAGCTTTGTGGCAGAGCAGCTGTATATTAATAACTCACAAAGGGGAAATAGTTACACCAATTTACCCAAGCAGGATCATGTCTTCATTTAAATTTTTAAGTCAAAGAGAGCTATTGTTCTTTTTGTGGATTATACTAGGAAATAGATTAAGCGTGTATTATTGTCCCCTTTAATTAACTATCCTCACAAGAAAGAGTTTATGAGATTAAAGTGCTGGGGGCTGTTGGAGATTTGGAGGATGTTTAAAACCAACCTCGTCTCCGCGTGTCGTTTGGTAAGCTGGGTAAATTCGTAAAAAGGAAGGGATTAAGAAACACCAGAATACAAGTTAAACAATAATCTTGTTTTAATTATACAAAGTAACAATACAAATACAAAGGAATCACGAAGCACTCTGCAGAGTACTCCGGGCTCAGGTTCTACCACGTGTGAGACAGGTCTCAGGAACGGCCGGTCAAAAACAAGAGCGCCAACCAAAGGAAAACACAGGCTTTCATACTAAAACACAGGAGGAGGTGTGTGCGTGCTTTCCCCCAGAGGTCATCTTATTGGGAGAGACCANACGCACCCTCTTCTTTTATGAGGGAAACATTCCAGAGTCTTGGAGCTATCCCCAAATTAGGATGTCCCCTGCTCCCATCCTTCTCTAAACACAAAGACTTCACCTCAATATATTGGGGAGGGAAAATATACTTTGTCCCTTCAAATTTAAAACACATGAATATATATAAGGTGACATTAAAATGAATATACCAGATTTAACTTTCCTGCCATAACACGTTACTTTAATACTTCAAATAATTCAAATAATCCTTCAGGGCTCAGTTTGGTTTGGTTTATAAGTCTCATTATTTAATCTCTTTGTTTTTGTTGCCCATTACTGTGTTTCTCTGTTTAATGTCAGAGTTGTAGGTCTTTAAACTTTCCTGATTAATTTCAATTTACAACGATATAATGTATGAAAACTTAAAACAAAGAAACACATTGAAATCTTTTGATAAAAAAAAAAAAACATTTAACTAAAACATCTAATAGAGTGTATACCTCAGGTTAGCATACTGAAATGATTACTGGTTGAACAGCAGCTAGGGTTTAATATGAATTGACATTTTGTATTTATTAAAAGGTTTTGCACTTCGATTTTTTCTTTCCAGCAATGATAAGTATTTTAAGCAACAATCTACATTTCAGACATATGATCTTTTTTAAATTCCTCTCTTACTTCTGGCATTAACTATCCTGATGGAATTTCGATCCACGGAACGCTTTTTTTCTTGCCTCTCCTACCGCTTAGATCTAAAGTCCTCCATTACTGATATCAGTGTTGCAAATCTCCAGTCAGGTGGGATCATGGCTCATCTTTTATCCCAGGGCTTGCTGCTTTCAGGCGATTGGGACAAATGTATTTCAGTGAAAATAATCCTCATTTCTGTCATTTTCTCGGTTTAAATAAAGATGAAATTCTAATTTAAAAATACATTTTAGCATCAACTTGTTGTGTCTCGGCAGATCTGTTAGTATTATTTCGCTGTGAGTCTTTATTGTCAAATTCCGTGTCTGCCATTTCCTGTTTTACTTTGTCATTTCCCTTCTCATTTCAGGTAGTTCGACTCCTACCTTGCCTGTTTGCCCACTGACCTGATTATCTGCCCCACCCTTATTGTTTGCACCTGTGGAGTCCTTTGTTTTTATATATTCTGTGTGTTCCCTGTGCTCAGTGCCAGATCGTTTTGAACCCTGTGAATGGCTTACCTTGTTTAACACCTCTCCTTGTGTAACACCTCACCTTGTTTAACACCTCAGTAAAAACCTTTTTATTGAATCATCTTTTGTCTGGAGTTGTGCATTTGGGTCCTATCAGTTTTGTGTGCCCCAGTCGTAACACAACTGTGACAAAATGCTGAACAACAGGCTATGCTGCTTTCTTATGAACAGATGTCAAAACGAAAAATTTGTATCCAGTATAATTGAAACAATCTGTAAAAGTGCCATGGTGAAAATGTTATTAGGGTTTTAAATAGTTTTTGATTATCTGAGGCATGATACAGTGATTATTGACTAACACCAATCTTTGTTTTGTGCAGTGTGATCTCTCTCATTGCAGATACGTTTAATTAACTTTGATTTTCATCTTTAGTTAATTCACACGAAGCAGTGAGGTTTTCCCTGTTTCCCCCCAAACTTTCACAAACAGTTCGAAAAGAAGCAGAGGTAAAAGAAAAAAAGCAATTGTTGTTGCTTTGAATTGTACTTTTGTGTTGCTGGAGACTATGGGTCAGGTCAGTTCAGTTTTAAAGATCACTAACTTACACAGCTACCGGAAGAGTTTGTTTGTGACTGTTAGGGAAAGCACCAAAGTGTTTGAAACTTGTATTACTTTCTGAAACTCAAATCCTATAATATATGAACTTTGTAGTGTCGTAAAGAATATAAATAAAGAATTTGAGATAAGGGAACACATTGATCAGCTCAAAGTGACTTTAGTCAGAACCAAGAGGACATACTGCTGCGGCTGCAACAGACTGAACATGCTTAAAATCATTTATGGAAGATGGTATGATATTTTAACTGCATTGGACATGTTTTCTTTGGATGCTAAATGATGCACAGTCAGAGGTGAAACTAATACTTTCTTTCAGTAAAGACCTTGTTGAGAATAGTGAGGTAGCCAAGAGTAACAACCTGTCCCAAAGGAAAGATACAGAAGTTGAGAGGGTAAAAAAGATGAAGGTTTGAAATGATAACTTGGCACTGAGGATGTGACTCTGTAGCATGAGAGAGAGACTGTCTGGGAGTTATGTTACATCTCTCTGACTGAGAGACAAAGGCTTATTGGATAAGCTCTGGGATCCTGCCTACAGTATAAGGACATCATAACTCTTCATAGGTTTTTAGAGGAACAATGATTTACTGAGTGGCATCAACTCACAGATTTGAAAACTAGCTTGAGGTTGGTTCAAAAACAATCTTCCAAACTGCTCCCAGTGCTATATACTATGTTTCTGACTGAAAATAGGAGATCCTGGCTCTATCAACATAAATAATTAGATGTATTGTATGTTTCTATTATTATTATTATTATTTGTCTTTGAAGGTCATAAAGGTAGCCAATAACACATTGTCTACATACAGTTCCTGCAGGAACCTACATCCTCACTTTTAGGCTTTATGGCCTGGTTTATTGCCAATTGAGGCTTATACATATTTAATGAAAGTGAAATTGAACAAAACAGCCAAACCTCCTGCAGGTTTCTGCCTGTGGTGACTCTCATCCTGCTGATATTCTTTTTTGGCTGTTTTGTTCAATTTCACTTTCATTAAATATGTATAAGCCTCAANCTGCTCTCTGACTGTTTCCCTTTTTAACTGAAATGCAGCATGACATTAGTGAAAGTGGAGCCACTGAATCAGTCCATTTGACAGAATACACCTCCTGAAAGGCTTGAAGAGGGAGACTTAGTGAGCGGACTACACTAATGTATACAGACACACACTGAGGCACAGATCAGTGTTTGGCTGTGTGTGTTTTCTCAGTGGGACAGAACAATCTCAGCAGGATGAGAGTCACCACAGGCAGAAACCTGCAGGAGGTTTGGCTGTTTTGTTCAATTTCAAATTCATTAAATATATATGCCCCTTGTTTTGCATTCTCAGTAAAGAATGATGTTAAATAGATTCATTTGATGTATATCCTGTAAGGGAAACTTCTGCAGCAATGGAGAGTCAGGACTCAGAGAGACACAAGGAGAGTTGGAGCTTTGATGTCAAACACTGGTNTAATATAAACGGTGAGTAGGAAGTAAGCAGAGATTCAGTAAGATCACAGCCACACACCCACTCCCTGTTTTAACATGGTGACAGCTTTGGGTGCTAATCTGTGAGGAAAATAATGAGGATTTAATGCAAACAAAACATCCTTCACATATCTGACAACATTTATGTTTTATTCTGCTCACACCTGATATCAATTTATGTTTTATTCTGCTCACACCTGATATCAATCACTCATGTTTCACAGTTTTCTATGAATGTGTGACTAACACTTACTAA